TTATTTGACAACAACGTTAGAAGTATTTAATGATAGTTAACTTTTGTTTTGGTATGAACTGCCCACATTCTTGAAATTACCATGTTCTGTTAAATGCTCAAAAGAGCTTTTTTTAAATGTCCTAATTCTTACCTACCTACCTTCAAGGTTGTCATTAGAAATTCTAATTTCTCAATGTGTCACATATTATGATAAACTCATTTCACGGCCATTGAAACAGAAACATGCGACGAAACGTCCCCGCGCAGACGACAGCTCGTCGATACTCATCCAATAAACTGTTGCTCCTAAAATACTATGACATTTATTTTAGACACCGACACCTATTCTGTCAACCTTTAGCTACACACATTATTATGAAACTAGGGCTGGTTGTCTTTTCGGTCGACCTTTGATAGTACGAGTACCTATGTAACTAAATTAGAAATATGGATATGAGTTCATAAGCCAACAGTCCTCACTTATAATTTGTAGCTTATTTACCTCTATCTACGACTGTCACGCCTATAGGCGTACCTAGTTCCAAATCTACATTTGCATTCCAACCATTTTGTAATACTTTCAAACGACTCAATAGAGGTCCTTGCCAGCTGTTCAGCCGTGTGGTGGGGTCGGCAACCTACACAAGCGCTATCACCGCCGATAACGTATCAGCTGAAAAATACTCACTCCAGATAGCCCCGCTAAAAATACTAACGCCTTGATAACGCCGTGATGGATCACCCGATTGTTTATCGTGATACCTTTAGTGTAATTATTACTATTGTTCTACGAATTTATTGTTTCCGGCGGTGTGTTTTATCGTATTCTTTCTTTACACCCGAACGATGATATGAATGAACGATCGGGAAAGGGGGTCACCGGTTAATGAAGTCATGAAACTCTTTTGAAGCAATAAACTATCCATGATTACGAAACTTAATCTTTTGATATTAGATTAGTAATCTTTTGATATGAGATTAGTATTTTTTCCAAATAACAATTTATCAAAATGTATCCGAATCAGTCCAAAATTTTAAGCTGTCATACATTTTTCTTTACATATTCAGGTTGTTTTACGTACATTACTTCTTCAATAGGTATCTAGCACGTGTTATCTCGATATAATATCTCGAGCTGGGCCCGCGTAGTGAAAAAGGCCTAAACAGATGCAACTCGCGCTCGTGCGGCGCGCGAGGCCGTTCACCTCCGCAACCAGGTCGAGGGTTGCAGCGCCGAACCAAGTTCAACATCTTGGATCTGGCACATTGTTCAACCTAAAATTATCTGCTGCTAACCATTTCTACTGAGTTATAGGTCATTTTGGTTAGTAAGAGATAATAATAATGTAATTTAAAAAATATTCTAAGAAAATTTTACTATATACCTACTAAACGTGCACACATAATTTTCTTTTCTTACTAATGTTACTTTGCTATGGTAAATTTAATTCATCATCCAATAGGTAACTTTGACGATAAAAAAAAGTATATCTGCTAAACATGAAACCAGTTTATTCTGGTTCATATTGATCAACGTTAAAAGCCCACGCTGTAGAAAAAAATTACGCTTATGAATTAGCTTAATCTGTTCTAAAAATATCGAAGAAGACCCGACTGACTAGGTACTAATCAATCAAACGGAAAGTTGCAAACGGGAAAACGAATCATGAGCGATTTGTTATCTGTGGAACTATCGCACTCGAACCTCGGAGCTCCATCATTCATTTTGTTGCTCGATCTACCCACATAATATTAGCTAGTGGACTGTCAACTTAAGAAGCGAAGTTTGTGAATAAATATGGTTTGTGAATATTAATGGATATTGGTATGTAATATTAAATCTTACAATAGTATAAAATTAGGTGTACAGAGATATTTTGGAGAACAGATTTCAACATAGATTTATTTTTTCCAATTTCAAATGCTTTATCGCGTTTTGTAATTCATTTTTAGTGCAAGCTTTCAATTTTACCATCACTAACATAATTATGAACTACAATAGGAAATAATGATGAAGTTGAAATCAAACAAAGATCATGACTTCATACGAAGTTTTCATTCTTGTAACACAGCATCAATTTATTTCTATTGCGAACAAAAAATTCTTTATTCATGGTAGGCTTTGTTTTGTTCGTCAAATTAATTACTCTCACGGCTGCCGGGGCCGGTCAACGACCAATAGTTCAATGAAAAGTTCAGCCACGACTTAGAACTTTTTGCCAGACCTAATCTTTATGAGTGTTACATGCCTTAAAATACCTCCAGTTAATCTAAATTATCCCTGATAAATGAACACCGCTTACGTGAACGCAAAGTATTACCTATGTTAACTTGAAATTAATTTCTACTGCAGGCCACAATTTATCATAATTTAACCGAATTAAAATAAGAGCTTATTTCATATCGGAGCTATTCTATTAAGCACAAAATGAAATTCCTAGTTTATTAATAATAAAATTGGTTTCTACCGCTATTCAATAATTTACAAATGCAATAGTCATATTTTTTGTTAGGTAATTTAGTTACACACACTTAATTTTATCAAGCTGCATTAGACAGGCTTAGTATACGGTTTCCAAATCGGGTAACCTTTCGATGGAATTATCAAAAAGTGATTACAGCCCACTTGTGCGCGTGGAAGCAGTATTAACGTTGCTATCCTATTTGGTTAGTAGGTGATTAACCAAGCATCGAGTGAAGTAATTGCAGGCCCGAGGCGCTCGCCGCGCGTGCGTTTCAGCGTCACCGCTCAGCTGAATTCAACGCGATTACGGAATGTTCGCGTTGCTCGGGGTATTCATTTAACCAAAGATATTTACTGCTTTTAAATTTAAGGCCGCCACTGGAGCAGAAGACGCGTTTAACTCTAAACATAATTTTTGATCTGAAATCAACATCAACTACACTTCCTGCTCTTATTAAACGAACCCTTGCGCATCGAATCTATTTTACAAAATATTCAAATTCAACGCAAACTCGGGTCAATTCGAGCTGAATTAGAAACCGAATCCTCATCTGAAAGGTCGTCGGCCTAACTATTAGAATAATTCGTTCGGCTGAAACTGGGCCGCCGGCTTACTGTGTACACACGGCACTCAATATCCAGACAACCTTATCACCGAGCAGCAGAGTTAAATTTCGAACAATGGGGAGGAGAGGTCGGACCTATGGTTGGAATAGATTTTCTAGCCTCACTGTTTCACATTAAGGTTTTAGTGTTTTCGACGGAGTCGTTTATTTGTAGTGAAATTCCTTGGGATCCGTTAAAGCAATTAGTATAATGCACTTATGCAGGTCGCTCCGTTTTGCTTGGGGTGCATTTGCGACGCCGGCGCGCGCGGACGCGACTTTGCATACTTATTCGCTGCTTATTTCACTTACCCTGCACTTTGGAAACGAATAAAATTGCACAATTTGAAAATGACAAAACAAAAACAGACTTTAATCTGCTTTCTAGTCTAACGTCTACATTGAGTACAATCTTCTTTCGAAGAATAGAATAGTTTCATTAAACAAGCCATGCTTTTAGTTTCATCATATTATGGCTTATTATTTACATACCTTCTTTTTTTCTTGAACTCTTAACTTCTCTTCTCTACTGTCTTTCTGTTTTGTTCTGTCTTCTGTAAATGATTGTTTTAATAATTTGAATAATTTTATTTCTCGTAAATGTCTAGCCAATTTTTTCTAGTTTCGACTCACCTTTTTGAATCATCTCTCAGGTTTTAAAGATTTAAAACTTTCTGCGGTTTCTTTTGGGTTTCCTTCATCATATAGGTAATATGATCAAAAAATAAAATGATTATAGAGTTGCGTGATTGTGCGTCTGATCTCGGGTGTAATGGATGCGCGCCATTGCGTGCGCGGGCGCTGTCGCGTGCGCGTCGACAGTTAGCTAAACACAGGCCACAACATTCATTGTATGCATTATAACACTTTTTTCACCGCCGATTCTTTCCATTATGCTCTATTCTAATTAAAGGAGCAGCCATTGTGAAAATTCCCACTCTCACACACTAAAAAAAATACATTATGTGTTAATTTTGTAATGCAATATTCAATTACACAGTAAAATAGGTTTAACTGTGATTAGGGTTGTTCATTTGGATTTTAATTGTTAATCTTTTTTGCTAGTCTTAGTTGTTGTTAGTGCTAAATTGTCACAATAAAACAATAGATTACACATAACGTAGGTACCTACCTACAATGAAACAAGCATAATAATTAGCGTAGGTATATTATGATTAGTCATGAAGAAATAATGAATAATCACGCCAATCATCACGCTTGTCATCTATCATCATCATGCCCAATCAGTGCTGATCACGGCTGTACTTCTGTACCTAATACTAATACCTCCTCCCTGCCGGATCACATGCACCATTGCCCGGTCACAAATGCACATCGAGCTAACTTGGACATCTTATGTTGTTATCATAGGTGTTATTTTGCCACAAAAACATTTAGGTCGAGTAGTACTTTAAGTACTTTAACTTTGACAAACGTCAAAAATCTGTCAAACTCCATACAAAAACACCGGTTATTGATAAAGTTACCGTTAAAGTTAGGTGGTGCAACTCAGCCTTAGTCTTATGTGCTCTTGACTGTATGCACTTGAGACACAAATAATTTACTACATCTCGCAAAACAACATCGTCGCCATTTTAAAAACGGTTTATATCAATTACATTGTTTTGCTAATAAATTGATGTGATAGCTTACAAATTGTTACACTGTTTGCGGCATTATTATACCATCTTCTTGATCATCATGTCATCGCTTGTCTTGTCAAATAGCCAAAAATGCTTTAGCTTCAAATTAAGAATTTTATTTCCTTTTAGTTTAATGTCATTGTAATTATGTGTGTGTAGGGTAGGCAATAATTTTATCAGTTCCGTTGTGCTTGGGTTGCTCTTGGCCTATTTTGCGCTATATAGGCCAAGGCCCCGCCCAGGTCTCACGGACAACTATTTGCCTTCGTACATTCAATTGTTTTACAAATGTATTTTTTGATTTCAGGTGATTTTTGTACGGACGTCATCATGAAGTGGAATGACGTCACCGATATCAGTGAGTAGAATTAAAATTTTATTACTTATTATTAATAATTTTTAATAGGCTTATCTGTTTAAGATATGACTTGTAAAAAAATTTGCGCCTGTAACTGAATACAAATGTATAGTGTGATTTTTAAACTTAATATTTTTGAGCAGTTTTTAGACTTTTTAGTGAAAGGCCCGATGGAAAAATAAGCCTCATTATAAAAAAAATACCATTTCCGGTTCGCTATAGGTAATAGTAATCTCCTTAAAATACTTCATAGCCAGCTAATGTCTTGGACATAATTTTATAATAATTCGAGAGAATTATTTTCATCTAGATAATAGTTTTTTCGTCACGTCTATTAACCTTGTTTTTCTAATTGGTTAATCTTTATCAATTTATCTTCTGTAATCAGCTGAACGATATAAACCAGAAATAAAACCATTAGTGAAGTGTGTCGTTGTGTTGTTGGTTTTGGCACTACTACTACTACGAGTTAGGCGAGGTGGGATGCGCGGGCGGCGCTGTTGTAAGCGTGTGTGATTACGTGTAAATACGGATGTAATTATTACGCACTTGTAGGACGAAAGGTTGCATTACGTATGTCTAAACTGATCATTGATCGTCATTTCGAGAACGAATGTAGCATCCTATCTTTTTTAGATATAAAATTAAAAAGTACCTAATGCTGAGGTCGATTTTTTTTAATTTTGTCAGTCCGAGACTATTTTCATAAATAACTTCTGTAGTAAGAAAACATTTTCATAATGCGTATTTGGCGCAGCAGTTAATAAGTCGTTCAGCATTCATCAGTAAATTAGAGTATTTTCATTACATAAATTGAGATGTTTGGTACAACTAACAAAAGCGAGTGCCAAGAACGAAACGATTTATTTACTAGAGTTCCTCATCTTCATTATCAAGATAACAATTTGCAAACAATGTAGCTGTCTTCGACAATTTGATGACTAACTCGATATGATTTGACGCCAGACAAGCCAAACCGAATGGCAATGATTGCAATACCAAGGATTTGTATAGAGTTAGAATTCGGATCCGCTCCAAAGTGTTGTAGGCTGAGATAATTTGGCACCGACTGCAGGAAGATGCGTATAACCGGTGTACGCTTATAACTACGATCATAGTGCGGCCATTCATACAGAAATAGTACGGTGTAGGGCTACTACCTGAGCTGTGCCAAACGAGAAGCTTACGGTAAAAAATAAAGACAGGAAACTAATATTGTAGTTAGATCGAATCGAGACGACACAATTTATAGAAGGCGCATGTACCTATATTCACTAAGGGTATGAAATTCTAAAGGCCAAGACGCTAGACTTATTCACCATCCTCTATTCCTAAATTAAGTTGAGATTTATTTCTGGTATCTCTGACGAAGCACCAACATCCACAGAGGTCACAAGCGCCTCGTGTAGGCGTATCTCAGCGTCCTGCTTGGCACGATAAATTGCACTCTATCACTTGGTGACTCCGGAGTGAGCACGATTGCTTTCCATCAACTCCTTTTCTGCTTTTATTACAATTGAGCAGATAAGGACTAATCCGTATTAGTCCTTATCTGCTCAATTGTAATAATTGCTCCGTAGCAATTTCTATATTCCATCTCTGTCCAACTTATAACAGTGAAGTCTTGTCTTTCGCCGGGCATCTCAAATAGCTCGTCGCCACACACATGGCAGCCACATGTGATCCTGATCATAATTAATTATTAACAGCATTAAAGATTGTGTCAGTTTCCATTAATTTTAATTAAATTCTTAGTGATAATATAAATGTATTCTAATACATTTTAGGAATATAAATATGTATTTTCATATTTATAATATTTATTCCATCAAGCTCAAACAACTCATGACGATTGCATTTCGTAGCCGTGTGGTATTAGGCACTACACTTGGTGTGCCGCATAAAAACTGACTTTGTTTAGCGCATGGATAGCATTCCGACTTAATTGTTCGTGTAATAAGTGTTTACTGGCGAACTCGCCTTTTGCGGTTTCTCCACAATACTTGCGGTTAAGCCTCCCTAGATTTACTATCGCGGCTCAGACGGTGCCCAACTTGCGGCGTTTTAAACTGTTCTCGCACATTCTGGATAGGTACCTATCTATATACGTTTGCCTTGGAGTTTTGCATTGTTGTTATTGTTGACCAGAATATGTTATGCATACATTTAAAACAAAGCAAAAAATTTACCGTGACAAACATGCAAAAGCCGTGAAGGAAAATACCTACTTCAGTATAGGTGTGCTACAATTTCCTGAACGTGTGCCATAGATTTATTACATAGGATCAACAGCAATGCCGTCGGAAGTTACTTATCCAAAACACCGCGATCGTTTTAGATCGTTTAAAGTTGGTAAAAACGCACAGCGGCGATGCCAAAATATTTTTCGAAAAGTGTTTGCAAGTGGTGGCCGCCTGAGCGTGACGGGCCGCCATGTTGCGCGCGCGCCGAATTGCAGATTACATCACTGTGCAAAAAACGTGCGCGTGCAGTGCGGGGGCGCAGGGCGGCGCGGGGGGCTGCTCGGCGACCTTGGCCTTGCTCGCGCCGCGGCCAAGGTGAGCGTTCAACGATACACCGCAATTATACATGCGCCCACCAGTCTACCGGCACACATGTATCTGCACGAGAATATACTCGCGACCATTACACGCGCTGCGCGTCTTAACTGGTGCCAGTGGAAAGGCTCCCAATTGGAAGAGCAAACATCGAAAGGTTTTGACACCTTTCGAAAGCTTGTGCCAACACAAGCCGAAAACAGGATTCTCAATAATGAAGCTGTCAATACCAAATTGAACGCAAACGCTTTTGGTAAACAAATCGGTAAAACTACTTAGACGATATTTGAATACTGCTCTACTGCTAGTTTTATTTATTGTGCTGTTATCATTAGGAAGGAAATACATAAAAAGGGCATGTACCTACACTGTCGTTACAAGTTCGGATTTTGAACGTTTTTCAAAGAAACTGTTAATAAGATACATTAAGCGGCGTGTGTTTAACACGCTACAACTGCATGATGATCGTGAATATCGTGATATCGTACAACAAAACCACGCCACGCACGTCTCACGTGTATGCATTTTGTTTGACAGAAGATTTATGAAATCTCATTTTATCTATTAAACCCTGTCTTTTTGATAAAAAAAAGGGTAATTATTAGTCTCTTTTTGATGATTCAGAAAATTATAAATGTATTGGTTAAACAAATTACATACTATCCATGAATAGAATATGCATTGAAAAATTATTAGAAACGTAGTTAACGTTTATTATTGTCTACACACCCCGGGATGGTTATTGAAAAGTCTGTCTTAAGACCGCAGAGGCGTCCGTTGTGGTCTTGTGGTGACTTATTAGGTGGACGTGCAATCGTAAGCGCTCGCGACACGATCCGCCGAAGTGAAGTCCACTCTCCACTGCAGGCAGACGATGATGGTAGAGCTAACTTTGCAGAGAAACGATACTTACTTGCGAAGTTGCGAGACGTTGGTTTATTTTGGCTCTTAGGATTACAAAATAATTATAAAACTGTAACTTTTTTACTTACATTTACTAGTAGTATCAGCTAGTTTTATTGCGGCTTCCTTCCCCTCACTCAATGGATTCTGGGCCATCCTTAAATAACTGCTCTCTGCACTCGGTGGGGCGCAGGCCCAATCGCCACGCCTGGCGAGTCTCCAACCTTGAACATGTTTACTACAATCACAATATTGTTCACTATTTATCACTTTGCAACGGTTTAGAGAAATTTTACGCTTACTAATAACATTATAAGTTATGCACATGTTTATTGCAGTGGAAAAATTTTAAAGCCATTAAAATTGCTAAAATTTTACTTCGGTACTCACCTGTTTTTTCTGGATAACACAACAATAGAGATCATGTATTAAAATATTTGATGAGCATTAACACCGTGTTAATTAGCTTTTGGATTACATTTGAATCTGTTTGGAGGCTGGCGGTGGTGATAATTCAATTACATTAATAGGCTCAGTACATAGATTGAATTTGCGCCGGTCGCGGAGCACATTAAATTTGTCAGGCGCACCCACGCGCCGCTTAACGATCTCTATTATTATCATAATCTCGTTATTTTATGTCGCCACTTTTGCAATATGTAAGTAGGATTAAGTTTCAAGTTTTACAAATAGGCTATTATCATATTACCTGACTTTTCCACAACTTAGTAGTAGTATTGTCTATTTTCAGTGGACCCTTCTAATTTTTTTATTCCAATATGGAAATTACAATGTTTATTGGACGTAACTTTAATCTTCCTCCTTTCGCATTTAAATATTTTTTATACTTACACCATTAGATTAAATTAAACCCATAACACCCTCAGTCAATGTTCTTCAGCAAATTAAACCTAAACATTGTCTGACTGAGCACATGCACGTAGTATTTAGTGTCGTCGCATTCCTATTGTGCCCACAGGCGTCACAAAGTAGATGTGTGCATGCTTATCACGTGTTCACTGTGATATCTCCAACCCTTAGCAAACGCGGGACCCGTGCAAAATACCACTGTACAGCTGAAGGTTTCTATAAGTAGGTACTTGTTGGACTTACACGTTATTTAACAACATTGTAATTGAGTATGCAGAAAGTCTTTAGTAGGTAATCAATACTTTATTAGAACTTTCTTCCTTTAACGATTGACGGTTTGTGCTCGCTCGTGCAAGCTTTCCTTCTTCAATATTTATGTGATATTTAACATTCGTATCACAGCAGCACCAACGTAACTTATTAGGTCTAACTTGCATAACATTTCTCTTTTTTTCTTCTTCTGCATCTTTTCCAAGATTCTATTAATGTGGTGTGGATAGAGTCGGAAGACCTAATATTTTAAAGTTTTTGAAATAATTAACTACACACACCGGCAGATTTAGCGGAACGCAAAAAAAAGTATGAAAATAAGGAAAATTACTACTGATCTATGAAATATTTATTATACAAAATAAAGAGATAATTAAAATAAAATAAAATAACATATAT